TTTTGCATCCGTTAAAGTATTATAAAATATACGTTTAATCCGTGATTTTTGCATCTGTTAAAGCATTATAAAATATATGTTTTTTCCTTATTTTTTGTATACGTTTTTTTCCACTTTTCCATATTAAGTTTAAGGTTTTTATCTAAGGAAAAAACGTATATATTATACTGATTTTTCATAAAAGTTATATGTTATAAAACTTAATATTTTTATGGAATTTTTATATCAAATTTTTTATTGGGATGATCTGAAATATAAGGCTTATATGACAAAAGATTGGTTTGAAAAAAATAATATCACTGTATTAGATTTGCCAGCATAATTATCTGACCTAAATCTTATCAAATATATGTGAAATAAACTAGATAGAAGATTATGACACTCAGATGAACTGATAAGAAATAAAGAATATTTATGAGAAAAATAAAGATGGTATAGAATGAAATTGAAATTAATGCTTATATCAAATTATACCTTAAAGAATTTAAGATGTATATAAATAAAAAGGCGAATATACTAGATAGTAATATTAAGTTAAGTGAATTTTAAATTTTTATCAAAATAAAAAAGGTATTTTTTTTTCGAAATTTAATAATTTTTTTGAATTTTTTTTTAAATTTATATTAAAAAATGGGTTATATAAAATATCACCATGGTGATATAATACTAGACTCTAAATATCATGTGATAATAGATCATGATCATGTGACTTAGATTTATTAATTATAATATCACATGATTAATGGTTATGTGACTTTAACTTTATTATTTGATTATAATAAATGCAATTTATATAAGATGAATCAAAATTAATCCTCTTAATCCTTCTCGCAGTTCTTTTGATAATGCCTAATACATTTATATTTTTTACATCGTCGTTGATTTGCTTTAACTTTTGACACTTCATGTTTTGATTTATACCTTTTAGTACTAACCGGATGGCCTTTATCATGACGAACTTTTGGATTTTGCAATTGGTAAATAGATGGATCAATATTTTCTTTATCTAAGTGATTATCCCGCTGCATATCTTCTAAATCTGACCAATCATCAATATCATTTTCCACAAAATCTTGAAGCATTTCCATTAATTCTTGAGATTTTTTTTTGCTTTGCAATGCTTTATTAAGTACTTTCTTGTATATGCTACTAATATTTCCATATGTTATCTTTTGTTTAAGGATCGTTAAATTTTCTTCTTTAAAATCTGCTTCTTGTTTAAAAAGATACAAATATAAAACTGTATAATTAGTAATAACTTCAATAGATTGATTTTGAGAATATTTGTTCGTAACTATAAAGGGTTCTTTTGCACTATTTTCCTTATTATAATATCAGCGTGAAGATAACATTCTAATATAAAATATTGCTAAGCTTATATTTAGCATTAATTAAAAATAATGCCTGCATACTATACCACATCATATAATAGAAAGACAAGAACATATATGAGATCGATTTTTTAACAATAAAATATGATGTTTGACCTTCAATATATTGCTAACTTAATTACCATATCTCTTGTATATTTTCTGATCCTACAAAATCGATCAGTTGGTTAAAGGTAATTTATACATCATCAATATTGATTTCTCCCTGATTATCATTTAATTCGATATTTTGATCAGAAGTTTCTGGAACTTCTCTTGTAATAATATTTGTAGTATAATAAACTGATTGATTGATCTCATTTCGCTGCATTTGTAAGATTATCAGTGTAAGAAATCTTTTAATATAATTATCTACATTATTAAATAAGAAATTTCCTTTGTTTTAATTTCTAATAGCCAGAATCATAAGCCGCCAAAATCTATACTCATTCTCCTTATCTTGAATATCTAGCAGTCTGTTAATTTCAGTTATAAGTTCACATAGCAAAACATTTGAATAATATTGTTAACGTGCAATTCTTGCGAATTACGACAGTTAGACAGGGTGTTCGAGTGGTAAATCTTTTTAAGTTTACG